CGGTTATCGAACAAAATTTCGCTTCTCGATTAAAATTGTTGAACCGAGTTAGCCCGAATGGAATCATTTCTGAGTCTACCGTTGTGTTGTATACATTCGTGTGTTGTGCCGCGCTTATCTTTTGCAATTTTACTGTACTATGGCTTTGTTTCTCTACATTGATTCCTATTGGAAAAAGTGTTTCGGTTTACGCACATTTCGGTCTACGAACGGATTAAATTCGTACATCCAGATTACACTGTATATATATATATATATGTGTGTGTGTGTGTGTGTGTGTGTGTATATATATATATATATATATATATATATATATATATATATATATATATATATATCACATATGTGTGCAGAAATGCAGAAAATAGAAAAGAACACGTTGGGTGCATAATCCGGAGTTCCTTAGTATTTTTGGTTTTATTTTTATGAAGACAGTGCTCCATACAGAAGTAGAGCTTTATAATAATAATATTTTTTGCTTAAAAATATGATTCCTTCGCTACATAAGAGTTCTCATGTTTCAAAGACGAGAGCCGAAATCATCCAAATAATTATTAAAATTAAGTTGAATTGAGGTTTTTAGTGTCGTTACTCTGCAGAATCTTCGGACCTTGTCGGTCTATTTATACTGTACAATCTAACCGCCCACCGTGAACTAGACATTGGGGATATCGGGCTATACAGAGATGACGGGCTCATGGGAGTGAGGAGCTCCACAAATTTTAAAACAGAGAAAATTAGAAAGAAAATTTATAATGAATTCGGAAAACCAAATTTAAAAACAATAGTCAACACTAAATTAAAAAGAGTAAACTTCCTAGACGTAACCTTAGACTTAACGAACAACGTTCATCTACCTTACAGAAAACCTAATACTAATCCCCTGTATGTACACCCCAAGTCAAACCACCCTACATCTATAATTAAGCACATATCCACATCAATAGAGAAAAGAATCAGTATGAACTCAGCAAATAAGGAAATATTCCGGCAACAGTAGTTTTTATAACACAGCCCTGAAAAATAGCGGATACAAAAACGCTGACATAACCTATAGAAACGATAGTACCAATAATAAGAAAAAAAACAGGAAAAGAAAGATCATCTGGTATACCCCCACCCCCGTACAACCAAATGGTCAGCACCAAACTAGGCCATAAGTTCCTAGCTTTAATTGAAAAGCACTTTCACACTGATAGCAAACTTAGCAAGATCTTTAACAAAAACACCTTAAAATTGAGTTACAGCTGCACTGAAAATCTAGAAAGAATCATAAAAACACATAATAAGAAAATCCTAGAAAAACACGCATACCAAAACAGTAATAAAACTCATAAATTAAAATTAGATAAAAATAACGAAAAATTATGTGATTGTAGAAACCCTAAAGACTGCCCGTTGGAAAATAAATGCCTCACAAAATCTGTGGTATACCAATGCACTATCTCATCCATTGAGAGTCCTAACACTGATAGGATATACATAGGCTCAACGAAGAATAATTTTAAAATTTGATGGAGACAACACAATAGCTCCTTCAACAATATTCAAAATAGAAATCAGACATCTCTATCCCAATATTTCTGGCATCTAAAAAGAAACAAATAAAACACCAAAAGTAAAATGGAAACTAGTAAATAACACAAGAACTTGTAAAACCTGGGATGACCCATGCCCTTTATGCCTACACGAAAAACTACACATCATTAAATTTCTAAATAATGAAAAATTATTAAACCATAGGCAGGAGTTAACGGTTTTTTGCCGACATCAACAAACTTTCGCATTAAATAATTAGCATTAAAAAAAATCAAAAAAATCCCATAGCTTTATAAAAGACTTAAAAGCTTAGTCAAATCATTAAATAGGAAAAACCCTTTCTGTAGTCGTCAAAAAACAAAAAAAACACATTGAAATTCAGTGCAATACGGTTTGTATATAAAACACCCACTTGAATAAACAAATAAATAAACAGATAATCAGATGGACAATAATAAAAGACAATTCCCCAGACACATAACGATTGTAGGCGCGCCATAAAAATATCCCGCACTGGGAACCAACTAAAGGATGACCGCCAACATTAGCCTTGAAATAGATACACTACCCAACCTGATCAAAACCTCACAGAAGATGATGAATCTATAGATAAGAATTAACTCTTTGACCATTTAACGAAGAAAACTAGCATAGCCCCCTCAACAAAACGAATGTTATGACGGACCATGCCTAAAAACACAAAACACAAAAGTAGCCTATTCCTAAAATTTCGCTTGAAGATGAAACGAGACTAAACACCTCAATTCAACTTAATTTTAATAATTGTTTGGATGATTTCGGCTCTCGTTTTTGAAACATGAGAAATTAATGTAACGAAGGAATCATATTTTTAAACAAAAAAATATTTTTATATATTACATATATATATATAGATTTACATTACATATATATATACATATATATATATATACATATACATATATAGAGAGATTTACATTACATATATATATATGTGCGTGTGCGTTTGTGAATGTGTATATGTGTGTGTAATATATAATATAAATGGGAAGCCGAAAACAGCCGGGCCTAAAAGGTATGAAGTCTCTCTTTCTCTTTTTCTCTCTCTCTATTGGACAATTATTTCGATATATTTTCAGGCCAGTAAATGTTTAATACTGTTTTTTATAAACAGAGCATTTACTTAAATGTTTGTGTCTATATAAATAACATATAATACAATAAAATATATCAAAATTTATATATATATATAAAAAATTATATATATATATATATATATATATATATATATATATATATATATATATATATATACATACATGCACACACACAAAAACACACACACACAATCATATATATATATATATATATATATATATATATATATATATATATATATATATAATAGAATTACCATGTTAGTAACATTCATTTTTTTTTCAGAACTTGATTAGAATTTTCGTGTCAAGGCATTGGTTTTTCATTTCAGCTCTTGTTTTTTTCCCCTATTCGCTATTTTTTTTTCATTGTTCATAGATTTTTTTCGGCTTTATTATTCCTTTTACTTAACATCTGGCTTAATACTATTTAATGGTTTCCCTGCAGGAGAGAAAAAGATATTTTTTCCTTTCTATTTGTTTGGCTGGTGAATTAAAAAAAAATATATAATGAAGGCGACGTATTTAAGGGCTTTTCATAGGCCCATTGTCTAATGCGAAAATCGTATAAAATGGTTGAATAAGTACATAAAAAAACAACCTTTTGTTTAGTTTTGCAGTCGTGATTAAATAGACCTCAAAAGTACTAAAAAAAACTTTTGCCTATATGTGAGCGTTAATCAATACATTAAAAAGTGCACATAAAAATATTTCAAATCTTGTTGGTCAGGCTTGGGAGCCTCTACAGAATATTATTGAACGTAAACAAAATAGTTAAAATATATTGCATTTACTAGAAAATAAGACACATTTTCATCCGCCTACCGTCAATACCGCAAAATAATTCCCAAATTTATTAAGAGAGTATCAAAATTATTTTCACTATTTACATTATTCGGACTATTGTCCTCATCGTTCTCGCCATATTATTTACAACGTTTCGGCCGTTGTACGCTCCGTCCCTTTCAGGTGGTTGGATTATGGAGGCAAAGATGAGGACAATAGTCTGAATAATGTAAATAGTGTACATAATACCTCATCTCAGAAATATAGACAGATACTGAAGGGTGATAAATATGGCGACAATGATGAGGACAATAGTCTGAATAATTTAAATAGTGTACATAATACCTCATCTCAGAAATATAGACAGATACTGAAGGATCGGATAAATATGGCGGCAATGATGAGACCAATAGTCCGAATCATGTAAATAGTGTACATAATACCTCATCTCAGAAATATAGACAGATACTGAAGGATCGGATAAATATGGCGGCAATGATGAGACCAATAGTTCGAATCATGTAAATGGTGTACATAATACCTCATCTCAGAAATATAGACAGATACTGAAGGATCGGATAAATATGGCGGCAATGATGAGGACAATAGGCTGAATAATGTAAAAAGTGTACATAATACCTCATCTCTGAAATATAGACAAATACTGAAGGATCGGATAAATATGGCAACAAAGACGAGGACAATAGTCCAATTAATGTAAATAGTTTACATAATACCTCATCTCAGAAATATAGAACAATTTTTTTTCGTTTCTCAGTCACTGATAAATATTATTTTTATAACATTGTTTTAGAGTTAGTGGTGAGGTGTTTCTCCTCGCCACTATTAAGCTTCAGAAGATGGTTTGGACACATCTGAAGAGCCTCCGTAAAACCATCATATAAGCCATTGTTGGGACAGCAACGTAAGAGCTGACCAGGCAACATCAAAGTATGGACGGAGATGGCAATGCTGGAACTCCTGGGAGCCTCCGCCAATAGATCATCGCAGCTGACTTAGATAAATGATTCACTATAATCATTCTGTTTCCTATCTGGAAAAAAGTAAGGCCAAGAAAGCGTAATCAGTTGCTCACCTGAAGGTTAGCTTCAGCCAAGAATATGGAAGGCAAAAATGATATTGTTTTGGAGACGTTATAACTAACATGCCATTTCTTGCACCAGTTGAAAACTGATTTATTTCCGAGATCAGCTGCCATTTTTACATTATAGGGCCGATCTGACTTATTGTTAATTCAGGAGTAAATTGTTGTGTCATCAGTATAGATAACGAATTGGTAACTGCGGCATCGGGAATGATGCTGATGAGGAAAAACACAAAACAGGGCCAAGGGTAGTGCCCTGGGGGGACACAAGCATTAATTGGATCTAAAATAATAGCTGTTCAACACAAGTTTCATTACATGATTTGTTAAGAAAGATAGGATAATGACAAAAATTCAATCAGAAACATCATAATACTTCAATATGTAAAGAAGACCAGAATGCCAAATCCTGTCAAACGCTTTTGAGATATCAGTTTGTGCATATCTATCTATCTATCTATCTATCTATCTATCTATCTATCTATCTATCTATCTATCTCAGTCTATTCATATCTATGTATCTCAATTTGTTCATATCTATCTATCTATCTATCTATCTATCTCAATTTATTCAAATTTATGTATCTCAGTTAGTTCATATCTATCTATCTATTCGTATATATCTGAGTTTGTTCATCTCTCTCTACCTATCTCAGTTTATTCATATTTATCTATCTCTTGAGATATATATATATATATATATATATATATATATATATATATATATATATATATATATATATATATATAATCAGTTTGTTCATATCTAGCTATTGTATAAGAGTGTAGTTGCCGACACTGTGGTTTGAAACTAGATCGCCAGTGAGTAACACGGGCGATCCCATTATTAAGTAGATCACGTGATCATAAAGAATAAATACGAAGTAGCGTAATGATCACTGCTCACTCTTCTTGTCTATCCACTATTGCTATACGTTCACTCTCTCTACTCCACTACTATACGGATTACGATTCTCTTCTGATCATTATATTATTTGGCGATTACTACTTGAACAAGTATTACTAGTGCAGATATTATTAGAAGGCGTTACTACTAGTACCGGCGTCTACAAAGTCTCGGATATAACGAGCATCTTTGGAAGTGATAGCGAGTTTCCGCTTGACATAACAAAAATGACAAGAGAAGGCGTCCAAACATCGCAAATCTAATCTCAGTTTATCCATATATATGTATATCAGTTTGTTCATATCTATCTATCTATCTATCTATCTATCTATCTATCTATCTATCTATCTCAATTTATTCATATCTATGTATCCCAGTTCTTTCTTTCTTCATCAGTTTATTCATATCTATGTATGTCAGTTTGTTCATATCTATCTATCTATCTATCTATCTATCTATCTATCTATCTATCTATCTAAGTTTGTTCATATCTATGTATCTATCTGAGGATGTAGACGGTTGTGAATTCGTCACTATTTAGCACAACTGGTCTCCTTTTAAAAATACGAGCATTTTTATGGAACTATTGTTGATTAGCATTCATCAGTCCTTCCTCGATACGCGGTTTTTGTCAGAATAGAAAAATAGTACTTGTGAAGCATTTTAAATGGGTATCAAATATTAAACTGAGTATTAAATCAATTCCTGAAATATTAAACACTTATCTTTAATTTCTTTCTGTTGTCAAGTTAGAAAATGTTGACGCCATTGATAACTGCGTACTAATGATGCTGTGTTTATTTGCAATTAGTAATTGCATTCGGAGGCACAGTGGAGCAATGGAGTGTGTTTCTGATTGAGGGCGCGTAGAGCCGAGTTCGAAATTCAGTTTTGCTAATGTCGGGCTAATGCTCTTCAGAAAGGTGTGAATCCATCTCTTCTGCAGCTATCGGTAAATAGCAGGACAGGTCTGTCTTCTAGCCTTGGTCAAGGAAAAGGAAAACTCTGAATTCAAACCAGCCTGGAGAGAGTTGGGCTCCTTAAGGCTCTCTTGCCCAGGAAACATCATTGCTTCTACGGCTGCAGTAGATGTGGTGCCCCTATGAACCTCAGAGTCTTCGGGATTCCTGATTCCGGAGTGGTACGCTGTAATCAATGATGCGAGCACATTTCAACTCTTTGTAAATAAAAACGAAGTACAGATAACTTTTTGATCTGTAAGTTTATTCTATTGATTATTTTTTATGGCTTATAAACCTATTGCAGGTTATTTAAAGCCAGAACATATTTTAGATGTTAAGAAATTTTAATTATTTGGGGAAGGGAGAGATAATAATGATTTAATGATATAAATTTTACTAATTAACCCCTAGCTGGCTGGAGAAGATGTGGGTTCATGTCTTTCCCAAGAGTATTTACACGTAAGTGAATATAACGAACTGGAATTCGGTTCTCCGATTAATAATTCCGTGTTTGTTATCCATTACACCACCTGCACTTCCAAGCTTACCTCATCTGGTATTCACAAGCGTTCTCCAATCTAAGTACTGACCCTGATCGACATTGCTTAACTTGGTGATCAGCCGGGAATCGGTGTTTCACCATGATGTGGCTATAAGCCAGTGACTAGGCTAAATAGCAAAACGACACTGTTAAGTGCGACAAAGGACGGGAAGTTGAAGAGAGCCACGATCGCCCACGTTCCAAAAGGACATGGCACAGAGAAGAAGATTCATAATTCTGAACCATTATTCATTACACCACCCGCACATCTAAAGCTCACAGTATCTGGTATTCCCAAGTGGTCATCCATCTAGATACTGACCAACCTCGATGTTGCTAAACTTCAGTGATCATACGGGAACCTATGTTTCAACGTGATATGGCCGTAAACCTAAGTTGTCAACGATCGATTTATATTAGGAAGAAGAACCCACCACAAAAATCTGCATTTTTTTTTTCGTTTCTGAAAAATGTAGAAGAGGAAGGCCGATTGTATTCTGGTCCACACAAATTGTTAACAAAAAAAAAATGGTCTTTATTTTCACATGCGGACCAGTTAACCTCAGGAGTTCGGTGCGTTCTTTCTTCAACTTCCGAACTATGTTATTTAGCATTTACAGATTTTAAATATTGATTTTCAATAGCGGCAAGTTAATTGGTCCCGCGTCAGTGATTGAAATGACACAGTCTCTTTATTCGTTGAGAAATAATTGGTTTATTTGCAAACTAGTCAATACTTACCAGTACCATATCTATTTTTGTTGTCAGATATAAAACATGCGTATCTAAAACTAATATTAACCCTTTGCGCTCTGCATTCCTGAACAATTTGAACTCTTCTGCCTGAGCTCCTGAGTCAAAATTCGCAACTAATTGCTATGTAATATTTCATGATAGATATAAAAATAGTTACAAGTGTTTACCCACCGATCAGCCGGTCATTAAGTCATTTTTCTCTACCACTGTTTAACCAGCGACTGGGCATTACGTCATTTTTCTCTACCACCGGTAAAGCCGTGGTCAGGGCTCAAAGGTTTAAATGAAGAATAGATAATCGTTAAGTATAGTGACTATTCGAAAAACTGAACTTTGTGTCCATGTCCTCTACACTAAGTTCTTAGATTGTCAGGAACGAGCCCATTTATCAAGTATCGTCTATTGCAGCTTAGTTCAGTGAAAGATTGCAGGGCTAATTAAGTGTTGATTAACTACACAAGGGACATGCTTGAGTTCATCTCTCGTTACTATGATTTCCATCAGTCGAAGGGAAAGTTAGCAAGGTATGGATGTAAGCTAGGGATTTCCAACTTTTTTATTAAATATTGAAAAGCATACAGTCAGTTAGATGCCATATGTGATATAGGCTTAAGCGATCATGTATCTTTGGATACATGACTGACGAGGATTTTTTTCCCCGCAGTGAAAATGGAATATCATTTCTTTCTGAGGTAGAACAGTTGCCAACCAAGGCTACAGAACCCGGTCTGTCCTGCTATTTAAGAAGAAGGGAGAAGAAGGGCTATTAGCATGTAAGTGAATGTAATGGATTCGACTGGAATTCGAACTCGGCTCCTCAATCGGAGACGCTCCACCGAGCCTCCTCTTAAAAAAAATACAGTGATCGTTAAGTTATGTTTTGATGGGCATTTTTCTGCTTTGATAAATTCGATTACGCAAAACACCGAATTTTGTAAATTTTTAAAATTCAGTAAAATATTGATAGATAGAACGATTACTGTCGGAATAGTAATACAAAATATTGAAACTGAGCCACAAAAAGGGCTCATTGTATTTATTACTAGAGAGCAAATAATTAATAATCAATAAAATCCAAAATCAACTCATATGGTGAATAAGATTATTTCAGCAGACGAAAATATAAGTCGTCTATCTTATTTACCCCAGTATTGACTGAGTGCGTGTCAGAAATAGAAATTATATATATATATATATATATACATATATATATATATATATATATATATATATATAATTAATGAACATCAAACACTTAAAATAACATAGTTAATAATCTTTATTTAATAGAAGCTATAAAATTAGCCTATAATCTTTCAGAGCTTCAACCCAAATATAAAGGAAAAGAAATACCCCAGGTTTGTCATGAAAACACTCGAACGAGTGCACAGGATCGACTCGTCAGTGATGTTATGACTTGGGGTCATGATAAGTTTCGGGTCTTGCAACATAATACTTGTTCACCCAAGAGACCCTACCGAAACAGTACTATTCCGGCAGGCGATCCTGAAGCAAAAAAAAAAAAAAAAATTCCGCCAAGCACGCAACAAATGTGCACATTAAGTAACTGCCACTGCTGATTTTGAAATTACAAGCGACCAATCATTAACGACTTACGTCACTTCCTCCTCAGCCAAGATGATACAGAAAAGAATAGACAGCATGCTCATCTTTTTTTTCCATCTTAGGTCCACCACGCGGAAAAAACCCACATTCTCAACGAACAGTTTGACATAACAGGTAAGTAATGGCCAGAATAGCTTCCTTCCCTATGAAGCTTTGCTTAAAAAAATATATATATATATCGAACATATTCGTTGGTCTTAGGAATTATGATCAGAAACGGTTCTTGCTTTCTTTTCCCACCACCACCATTTCATCTGTCCATTTCTTCCCTTTTAAATTCAAGATGTACAGATATCATATTGAGGTAGTGTGAGAGAGAGACAGAGAGAGAGAGAAAAGGAAAAATTCAAAATTATGAACATGTAATGGTGTCGTAGGAAGGAAAAAAGAGGAAGAAGACCCTATGATTTATTCTCAGTAAACTTTAAGGTGTGACTTAACCTATTTAATATGACATACGCTACAATGTTGCATTTTGATTTAGAGATTGAATGAAAATCTTGTTATGTCAATGGGAGTTAAGCAACACTGTCTGTGTCACTTACTGGCTAAGAATTTGACGTATACATATTCTATTTAACAAACGTTTATAAATTTATCTTAAAAATAGTGTTTGGTTAAGGATATTTAAAAAAATATTCAGAACTCAGCGAAAGATTTAGAATTTACCGCACAATAGTAAAAGTTTCTAATATAATTCCTAAAGAGATTTAAATAAAATAATTATTAATTACTAAAATATACAAAGAAAATTACTTTAATCTATTTTAAAGTATATTAAGCAGGATGTATTTATTACAGTTTAACAGGTTACGGAGGTACTTTAAATTAAACTTAAAAATCTCCAGTGTATATCTATTAAAGTTACATGTTCATCTTATGTGGTGAAAACTAGGTAGGTAGTACCTGGCTCATTAGCACTTATATATATATATATATATATATATATATATATATATATATATATATATATATAGATTCACTACATATACACATGTATATATATATAAACTACAAATATTGTGACATAAACATATATATACACCATACTTATAAGTGACAGGATATAATAAACATATTCCTGTGAACAATTGTAACAACATTAAGTCAATGAAAATACACACTGGAAGATATATAAAACAGGTAAAAGAGTTCTTCTATAATTTCAGGCGATGTTTGTGCCTGCATTTTGTTGATTTCCTTTCAAAGGTTCAGCAATTTTTCCTAGTCTTTATATTTTTTTATAAATATTTTTTTCCAGAAGACATAAATTACAGCGGTCCCTGAAGTTCTTAGGGGCCTGGGCCCTGGATATGAATTTCCACTCTAAATGCGGTGTTAGATATTTGTAAATAAGATCGCAATATTGCTTGGATATAGCTGTTTGGTTTTTAAGAGACCAGTTGTTGAAGGAATGCCTGTGATTATATAATCGTTGTTTCCAATTCCCCACAGAAATTCCAATGTAGGTCTTCTTCAGGCTTACATTTTCTTCGGGGAAAATGGTTGCCTCATATGCCACGTTTTTAGACATGCATTTACCTTCAACAGGGCATTCATTTTTTTCTTTGCATCTGCATGTTGGTTTAATATCCATTGCACCAATGTTTAGAAATTTACTTAGGAGTTTACTATTGTGGACTGAGATGATCCTTTCTATATTGCTAACATAACATAATATTTTAAGTGTTTTTCTATTTTAAAAAATTGATAAAGGATTTTTATCATCAAAATGATTATCCATTAGTTTTAAGAAGAAAATGCGTATATTAATATTGGAAAGTCCACAGAAGGCTGGGTTGAACCCCAGGATTTTCTTTTTTCTGTTTTTAGAATTTTTTTTCTTAGTGCTTGATTATATGTAAGCTTACTCTCATTAAAAACTACTTTGTTAGCAGATAACATTTTTACTCTTGTGTTGACGGTTTTGGGGACATGTTCCAAAATCCACTTAATATAGATGAAGATTTGATTTTATATATATGCCCACTAGGTCTTTTAATTGGGCAAAGTCAAAAGCCCCCATAGGAACATCAAAGTTTTCGCTGATTCTTTTTATCCTAGTTGAATCACTCTACACAAGTACTGAACTTCTAGATGCTATTATAATATTTAGTTCAGCACTCAGTAATATCGATGTAGTTTCTCGCGAAATTTATGCTGTTAATTAGTAATTCTTCAGAGATGGAAGTGTCGAAATCGATCATGTCAAATTGCATGAAAGTGGCTGACGCTTTATTAGAGATATTCCAGAACCATTGGATTGTGTCGTAGGAGTCCTTCAAAAGGTTGACATGATGTTTTTGTTGAACAGATAGTATTACTATTCTGAAGTTCACCCTGAAGATCCATTTAAGTGAAACCTGGGTAGGTCGTTCCTGGCATTTTGGGAATTATATATATATATATATATATATATATTATTTATTTAAAAATATGATTCCAACACGCTACATAAGAGTTCTCATGTTTCAAATATATATATATATGTGCTTTGATTTAGTTTTTTTATCATTTCTCATGTGATCTTATAATTTTTTCTTTTCGGGGGATAAATTATATAAAACATATATTAATTATATAGAGCCATAAACAATAACTTTAATATTTTTTATAAAAAATAAAATGAACGAAAGTTACAAACAAGATGGAACTAGAATTAAGAACATTATAAAAATGCAAAACAACTGTAGATAGTAGCAAAAAAATTAGACTAATTATTTATTACAAAATATTTAAAGCCGCCAACATTATAGTTAAAAATAATAATTCACCTCTTAGAACAAATTTAAATAGAACAAATATTATTAAAAGAATTTAAATGTCCATTAAGGAATTGTATTCCTGATGAATCAAAATTCGTAAACAATTAAATTGGCCAAACCACAACATGTTTAACAAGAAGACTCATGATACATCTTTCTGATCATAGCTCAATTAGGTCGCATTTAAATAGTCATGGAGACCTACTGGACCCTATTAGTCACACACTTGTTGATAATACAAATATAATAGCATTATCTATATGTAAAAAGGATAAAAATAATGGAAGCCTTATTAATAAAAACAAAAAATATCAACTATGAACATGGACACAGTATCTTCACCATGTTTTGAAAATGAAATCTTATATAAATACATACATATAACAATCTATTCATTATTAACAGTTAATATATTTCAACCTTGAAAATGGCTAAATGTATACCGAACAATTGGACGGTTTTTATATATTTTATCCTCTGAAAACAAAAGAATTATAAGATCACATGAGAATTTATGGTAAAGACTAAATCAAAATATCTTGTCTTTCATATTCAATAAAACGTGCATGAAAAAAAGATTGCTGCCTAAATACACACACACACATACACAAACACACACACATATATTTATATATATATATAATATCTAATATTAGGTTTGACATATGGAAGTTATGAATGCTTAGAGAAAGTTGTCAATGCATCTTGAGAGATTTTTTTTCTTTTGTTAACCACCAAAATAAGCTTGCTATATTATTTCAAGAAAGTTGTGAAAAGAACATATAAAAGGTGAAATTCCGCTGTGAAAATCCTTGTCTAATGAAACTTGCCAGATAATGGGAATAAAGTCGGACTTTTCTTTTTCATTTCTTTTTGTGTCATGGCGATAAGTTTTCCTTCCATTAAACATCGGGATTTCATCGAAATCCACTCGGCGTAAAAATATAGACAAAAGGAACCATACAAAAAAATATTTTTTTAAAGGAAATGTCGAGTGAAAAAAAATTAATTCACAAAAAAAAAAAAAAAGAGAAAAGAAAAAAAAGGACGAATATCTAGACTTCCATGGACTGAAATGAATAGGAGGAAAGGTTTTGATTAAATTAGAAGCATCAAAGTAACTGATACAAATATCTATCTATCTATATATCTATCTATCTATCTATCCCAGTCTGTCCATTATCTATCTATCTATGTATCTATCTATCTCAGTCTGTCCATTATCTATCTATCTATCTATCTATCTATCTATCTATCATCATTTCAATATCTATCTATCTATCTATCTATCTATCTATCTATCTATCTATCTATCTATCTCATTTCAATATCTATCTATCTATCTATCTATCTATCTATCTATCTATCTATCTATCTATCTATTATGTGTTTGCGTTTATACGAGAATGTGTATTTCGTAATAGTGCGAAGCGAATTATTCAGATTTGATTTAATTTTTTACAGTTTACCAACCCTTTTATGGTTTCTTTATGTCTGTGTATCATGTTTGCTGGTCACAGTCTTGCTGGAAAACCGATAGTAACGGTGATATGCCGATCGATGTAGACGTTTTTCGTGTTGTTATTATAACTCTGTTGCTTAGTGTTCGTTATTTTTTTCAATCTTGCGAACATAGAGATTGTTGGTGGACTGTCGCTTTTATCTTTTTCTTAGTTTATTCTATCTATCTATCTATCTATCTATCTATCTATCTATCTATCTATCTATCTATCTAAGTGCGAGAGACCATACACCTTGTCAGGAAACCTTTACTTTTGCACGATTTGTGGTCTTGTCAGCAAATTACTAGCAGCAATCGAATGTCATTTCAGGCATAAACACTTGAATAGATTGACACACATGCTGAAATCAAGAAGAGGGTCGATACATACATACATACATATATATAAATATATATATATATATATATATATATATATATATAAAATATAGAAATTTATATATATATATATATAAATTAATGTTTCTATATTTCTTCACACACACATATATATATATATATATATATATATATATATATATATATTGGAGGCACGGTGAAGTAATGGATAGCGGCTTGGATTGAGGAATCGCAGAGCCGATATCAAATTCCATTCAAACCCATTATATTCACTTATGTGCTAATACTCTTGGGAAAGGTATGAATGCTCTTCTTCTCCTATCAGCTATGGGTAAATAGCAAGACAGACTGGGTTCTATAGCCTTTGATGGCAACTGGTCTGAGAATGAAAACTCTGAATTCAAAACCTGCGGGAGATCGTTTGGGGACCTTGTTCACCAGGTCTCTGTATTTGGCCCTTTAAAAAGTGAGGTTGCTTCTGCACAAAGCCTTCACTACTCGAATATATATAGAACGAGAGAGAAAAAGAGAGAAAGATGCACGGTGGAGTAATGGGGCTTGGATTGAGGAATCGGAGAGCCGATATCAAATTCCATTCAAACCCATTACATTCACTAACGTTCTAATACCCTTGGGAAAGGTATGAATCCTCTTCTTCTCCCTCCAGCTATGGGTAAAATAGCAGAACAGACTGGATTTTATAGCCTTGGATGGCAACTGGTCTAGGAAAAGGACAACTCTGAATTCAAAGCCTGCGGAGGGTCGTTTGGGACCCTTGTGGCACTTAGTGCACCAGGTCTCTCTATTTGTCCCTTCAAAAAGTGTGGATGGTTCTGCACGAAACCTTCACCACTAGAATCAAATCTCATGTGTCGTTGTCGGGTTGTTGGTTTCCTGGAATCTGATCTGCTTGACACTCATACGTCGAATTCAATGGGAGAGTCGACTATATATATATATATATATATATATATATGGGGTGCGTGTACGTGTGATTGTTAAATCTCCCTGGTTTAGAGCAGTATGCGTACATTTATACCGAAAACCCGTGGAAGCATAGGCACTTATAGATCCTCAACCCATCCACCACACTTATGTAAATTCATCAGTCCCTTAATTATTTCCTCTCTCTGTCTCTGTCTCCCTCTCCCCCTCTCCCCTCTCTCTCTATTTATCTATCTATCTATCGAAAGCTTGAGAGATTATCCACCTTGTCTCAAGACCCATTTGCAACTTTTGTGGTCTTGTCACTAAATCGCTTGCAAGCCTCGAATGTCAACTCACACATTAATATTTGAACTGACTCAAGGACACATGACACAGTGGATAAAGGCGTTGGTTAGATCCAGTGACAGGATGCAAAGAGTGTAAGTTCAATACCCGATTAAGGAAGTGAAGAGGGAAATTAATAGGAGATAACTGATAACTGACATCCATTAAAACATTGCACGTGGAACTAGAACAGTCTACCCCAGTCAGCGAAATAAAGGATTCAGTTCGACATTCCAGCCACCTGAAGAAGGCCGAAGCATAAAACGGCTGCAACTTTGTGATAAATATAGCGACAAAGATGAGGACAATAGTCCGAATAATGTGAATAGTGAACTGACTTAGTTGTTCGAAATCGAGAGGAATGTGCGTAGCACATATACACGGTGTGATGGGTACATATTCGCCATTTTATATTTTTAATTCAGCGCATGCGCGTTGTTTGCTTTTGAATTTGTCTAACGTTTCTTATAGTGTGGTCAATTAGGCACAGTCTGCGAGAAAAAGATCACCGTAACGTAATTCACTCCGCCAGAAATTTGGAAACGGCATGCTGTACTGCTTGGCATTCGCGCCGCCAGTTCTAATACGAACATTTTTAGAGTGTTTGGATGTCAACCCGAGGACAGTGCAGAAGATTTAGAAAGAGTTGGATGAGTTTAATGGTGATTACGAATATATTTGGAGTGATCACTATTGATGGTGACGTTATACCTCCATTCATCTTTCAACTATAATTTTTTTGCGCACAATATTCATGCAACATCTAAAACATTTAAACGATCTTTTATATATTTTATAAGGATCCTAATTCATATATAAAAGTAAATATTACCCATACCATTCCAGTAGCATCATATATGACCCATACTTTCATGTTGTTTACGCCAGTTCTATTAGTACCATCCGAATGACACCGCGGATATCAGGACACATCATACCAGATCATATTTTTTCAAACATTCTTTTTTACAATTTTCTTATTTTAGATTTTGGACATTTACTCACAAAATTGCAGCTACGCAATTGAAATTTCCCTTCTTTTTGACTATTCTCTGAAAAAAATAACTATACCTTTTCAACTTCAAAATGATAATAATCAACTTCAAAATGGACTTATTTTCAGGTAAAAAAAATAATCAACTTCAAAATGGATTAATCAACTTCAAAATGGATTAATCAACTTCAAATTGGAAAACAACTTCAAAATGAGAAATAATCAACTTCAAATTGGATTAATCAACTTTAAATTGAGAATTAATATAATACTAATAAATTTAATATTTATTTTATTTTTACTTAAAAGGGATATAAAAAAATATAAAAGTTCCTAAGAAATTTATTTAAAAGATTACATCATCTAAGTTAATTACAGAGGGAAGTAATCTCTGTATTCCAGATACGAAGTTAGTGCAATTCTCAGGGGAAATATTATTAATTGCCTCAGAGATCATAGCTTCTAATTTGCTGAGGCGGAATTCTTTAGTAGTTAAAGATCCCTGGCCATCACCTCTTAAAACCCCAACAATTGAGTCTGCCATACTTCTTTTTACGTCAGCTTTAATGACTGACCAAACCTTTTCAATGGGATTTAACATCGGACTATAGGGGGCAAGTCTGAAAATTTGGTGTTGCCTAAATTCATCCTCCTCCACAACTTCTTCAATTGAAGTATGGCAAGGAGCGTTATCAATAACTAAGACAACTCCTCTTTCAAAAATTTCATTTGACTTTCTAAGGCATTCCCTGGTCAATTCTTTCGCATCCTCTTTTTTGAAAGAACCTCTTTTAATTTTATAATGAATTAATCCATTATTACTAATACATCCAATAACATGGATGTTATTTCCCCTGGATCCGGCCGCGACTGTAGTGCACCTCGTGCCTTTTTAAAGAGCGACCTTCTCTTCTTGAAATATGGAGATTAAAATTGATTTCATCCATATAAAGAATTGGCAAACTTTGGGACTGAAATTCTAATAAAGCTACTGCTTAATCCTTACGTTTCGCCTTATTGACATTATTATTGGCAGCTTCTGGTTTATAAGGAACAGCTTTTAAAGTAAAGACCATGGAGTCCAAGTGCTTTCTTATGCATTCTTTCTTCACACGAACTTTATACTTTTCGACCAACTTATTTACAATGTCTTGAAGAGTGACCCTAGGAGAGTTTTCATTTAATTCGGCCATAAAATTCTTATGCTTTTGCGTAATTTTATATTTTCTTGCTCCTCCCCTAGAGTCACTCTTATCAGCACTCTGCTCTAACCAACGGTACGCTGTTGGCAGAGGCACAGCAATTGTTCTTGCCAGGTCTTTCCAATTTCCTGCTTCAGCATGTGCAGCTAAAATCTGGGCCTTTTTTTCGCCAGCCACAGTTTTCTTGGGGTAAGTCCTCTTTGGAGCTGTTGCTAATTATTCTTCAGCTTCTTCTGTAGAGGTTTCTCCAGCATCATCATCAATCATCATTTTTGCCCATATGGGACTTTCTCCGCCTACTTTTACTGAAGGCTCACCCAATGCTTTCTTGGCCTCTAAGTTGTTTGTATTTTGTTTTTTTCTTCATCTATATAATGAAGAAGAACAGTCAATTTCCTTACTCATGGTGTAAATTGATTGAAAAAAAAAATTCAATTTAACAAAAAAATATCTCAATTTGAAGTTGTTTATTCCAATTTGAAGTTGTTTATTCTCATTTTGAAGTTGATTGTTTTTAGGTTTTTGACATTTTCTCAATTTGAAGTTGATTAATCCATTTTGAAGTTGATTAATCCATTTTGAAGTTGATTGTTCCATTTTGAGGTTGATTAATCCATTTTGGAGTTGATTAATTTTTTACTTGAAAATAAGTCCATTTGGAAGTTGATTATTATCATTTTGAAGTTGAAAAGGTATAGTAATGCTTGTGCGTTAAAGTCCTAGAATTTCATTAGTTTTCGAAATTCTCCGATTGATCCATTCGACACCAATGACCATGCTGCATTCACCTAATAACCTTTCTTTCCTTTACGCATAAAATGAAATTCAGCACATTTCCCTGACCATGTATAAATGTTTATATCCATTAAATGGTTTCCATGTCCTTGGGTGATTCGAATTTTGCCTAAAGGAATTTTCAATCGATTCCTCTGACAATTCTTTCATGTGCTTTCGACTTCCCTTATTATACTCCGTAAGCAATACATTTTTCGTTTATCACTCCCCCTCTTCTGTGGATTGCAATATATTAGAAAACATCTGATATTATTGAAACGGCGTTCTCTCTTCATCAATCTGCAAATATGTTTGTGTCTGGTGACATTAATTCGCATCATTAGGATTCACTTTGTGACTTTCTTTGAAACCCCCCTTGCACTGAGTTTTTTTTAACCTTCATATTGAGAATTGAGCAACGGATATTTCCTCTGGGGTCAAAGCCGACATAGATTGTTTCATTCCCTCTCGTAAATACCAGTTCAGATCAGCATGCTCTGCCTCTAGAGCCCACAGGACCCACTATTTCCGATTATACCAGCGTGACAGTCCCTATAACAAGCTGCCTATTTGTGATCTCATATAATAAATGTAAACATGCCCTCGAATGAGCCAAATCTCTGCTGAGAAAATGAAGCACCGTTTTGCATTTAACAACTTTGGCTTACGGGATTACCGGAGGCTCTGTAACAGTGTATTAAATAAGAGTAAGTTTTCTATATTTCCTTTCTTCAATTCATTTGAGGCATTGACATCTGATGATAAAGCTGAATATTTCTGCCGTAAAATCTCCTTAAATTCTATTCTTGACTCATCCGGAGTATCCTTGTTGAATTTCCCACTTAGAACTGATATGCATATAACCCCTTCTATGGATTCTGTTAATCTTGATTCCCACAAAGCATGTGGACCTGATGGTGTCTGTAAAAACTGTAAGCATTCTTAAAAAGTGAGCGCTCGAACGGGCTTCGTTTTATCTCTAAACTGTATAATAAATACCTCGCTGCTTGCTTCTTGCTTCCCTGCTTAGTGGCTTTACCGAGCTGCATGGGGTGAATTCGATTAAAAAATAGAAAGAAAGAAAAAGCATTTATTCACGTGTAATAATTAAGACCACAGTGTAATAATTAAGTATATATATGGATATATATATATATATATATATATATATATATATATATATATATATATATATATGTGTGTGTGTGTGTGTGTGATGACGTCGTTTGTTTACATTTGATACGCCATGAGCAGTTATGAATGTACGTGAGAGATTCATGGAAGATTGAAGTTTATAAGCAGTAAATTCGACCTTGCCAGTCGAACGATCCTTTTGTGGCCGAGCGGTTAGGCACGTCAAGGTAAATGACGGTTCCGTATAGGATGCAGGTTCGAATCCTGTCAAAGAACGAATACTTTCTATGAAAATTTCTCGGACATTTAGACCGGTAAATGTTATTTAATACTGTTTATTATAAACAGAGCATTTACTAAAATACTTGTATCTATAAAAAAAAATGTTAAACATATAAATGTCTTTAAATATATATATATATATATATACTAATTTCTATACATATGTGCAGTGCTCAATGTCAGTTTTAGAGCTAACATATTCATTTTTATGGATATGCGTTTGTGACCCTGGGTTTCATGCTTTTGCGATCATCAGACAAATTTTAGATTGCCCGATGATCGCAAAAGCGTGAAACCCAGATTTACAAACTTATATCCATACAACTGAGTATATATATATATATATATGTATTAATGAATATACATAATATCCAACGTCGATAACACTATTCGTTGGATATTATGTATATTCGCTAATATATAGGTTATAGCTCTGTTTCATAACATTGAGCACTGTATTTATAACACCTTCAGAATAAATATACTCCCGTGCAAGTATTTGTGTGTGTTGTAAATTATTTCTTCTATCCATTTGTATATATATATATATATATATATATATATATATATATATATATAAAAAACACTAAAAATTAGTCCACTATGCTACCTGGGTTTCGGCCGCAAGGTTTCCTCAGGCAAATAGATGTACTTTATCTGCCTGGGAAGACCTTGCGGTCGAAATCCGGCTAGCAAGGTAGACAGGTTTTTAGTGTTTTTTGTAAATATTTTTCCTTTGCATTTTCTATTATGGATTTCTGTATTGAGCATCTTGTAATGTTCATATCTTTTAGGCGCGGCTGTTTTCAGCCTCCCATTTGAGAATATTATTTTATATTATATATTCTCTCTCTCTCTAAATATATATATATATATATATGAATGTGCGCATATATATATATATATATATATATATAATAGTTGGATTAGAGTTAATACAGACATACTTGCGATCAATATTTACAGAGGTTCCAAAATAACTTCACTTAGCTCGAATATTAATAGTATTTGTATTCCACTTGAATATTATATTATTTTCTTCCCGAGTACTTTTCAATGTTGAACTCAAGGACTGATCGGTTTATGTTTACGCAACTGTTTTTTTTAATTCCGGCGTTTTCACGTCTGATGCAACCAATTTCAAGTCTATGAAGGTGTCGTCTTATAAATGGTGAAGATTTTTTTTTAGTGTGTGTGTGTTAGTGTGCGCTTTAAAACACACTTCAATATACGGCCACTTATGGTGAAAGACACCCCATTTAATGTTGGCTGATTCTCTTTTATTAAAACAGCCTCCAGAATTTGAAGTCTTTCTTTTTAATGTGTCCTATATACAATTATGGTGTTATCTATAAAAACTTATCGTATGTTAATATTATTGTAACTTATTTGCCATAAGCACAACTGACAAATAAGCAAAATAAAATAAATAGAAAAACCGATAGAAAGATCTTGTCCATATCAATATTAATCAAACATATCTCTCTCTCTCTCTCCCTCTCTCTCTCTCTCTCTATATATATATATATATATATATATATATATATATATGTGTGTGTGTGTGTGTGTATTTCTAAATGCAGACATGAATGAAAACAAATAACTATTATCACAATTTATGCCAAGCAGATAAAAAATACCAACCAACACTACTAAACCACTAATGACCCTATAAACATGATAAGAGAAACCACTGACACCATAACACCATTAATTATTTTCTTGTTCAAACTACCATCATAATAATTATAATTATTTTTATTATCATTCCATCACCATTACTACAATCACTTCTACCATTTTACAATAACTATTTGCTGCTACAATTGTAATTATCATCACCCACTCCTCCCAACATTACTATCACATCACAATTACCATTGTCGTATTAGTCCACAATTACTACAGCACCACAATTACCATTACCGTATCAGTCCACAATTATACTTACTTCTCCCTCCCCCCAGCAAAATTAATACCACCGCATAGATACTAATAAATAATACAAATTGGAGTTTATACCATTTACATATGCGCAATCGCCAAAAACTAGCCAATAACCGGCTTAAAAATAATAACAAAACAGCCTTAAAAAATTAAAAATGATAGCAGTTTTTACCAACCATAGTCTTACACAGACCCCCATCATATGTATATACGTGAGCGAGAAAGCATTATTCAGCGAACAAAACAGAAGAACGGTCTGCGCGTTGTCAAGAGACAAAAATATTTGCTACACAATCCAACATTGAATACTAATGCGTACGTATGTACGCAACGACAAATGGATGCGCATATATGCCCATTCCCACACTGTTCACATATGTTTATATTTGTGTGAGCTCCAGTGAGCGTGTGTGTGTGTGTGTACGTCAATGAGTGTACGTGCGTCTATGTATGTTTGAGTGGCGTTCCGACGACAATTTTTCCTCCCACTTCCATAAAACACCGATATACGCAACCATATATAAATCCAAAATTTAAAAATTAATCAGTTTGTCTGACGATCGCGTGAAACACAGGGTCACAAACTCACATCAATCCTACTAAAGACACACACACACACACACACACACACACAC